TGCGAGATAATCCCATGCACCTTGCGACATGACACCCGATTCAAGCCGCATATTGATAAGCTGTAACAGTACTGATTAGGGCAAATGTCTACTTCAGAAACGATCATTTGCTCGAGCTGCGAAGAAAGACTATAAAATTGCTTATCACCACCATCTACTTTTTTTTTTTTTAATCGCAGGATTGCGCGGACTCTCAGTTTGGAGCTACCATATTCCTCGTAAAAAGAACGGCGATCTTTGTAGCAATAAAATTGTAACTTTAGCATTTCTTTTTATGGTTCTCATAGGAAAAGGATTATGGAGTTGATGCTGTCGAGATCAGTCGATACAATGCAGCGCACTTTTTTAGTTCAACTTAATACATCTGCTCGCTATCAGCAAAGGAAAAATGAAACTCAAAAACGAACTTTATCCTTGCAGTACTCGATAATCCCAGCTGTTGTGGAAGTACAGTGTACCAGGCAAATCCCCATTATGCGATTAGGCGACGACATCTGAAGTTCCATTATTCTTAACTTCTAATATTAATGTATATGAGTGTGAAATCAGTTCAACTCAATTTATTTTCCCCCAACGCTCTTCCAGGATCAGTTCAGGCAATCCACAGAACTAGTGCTTGAAAAAGATCGATCTGAGGTCATTTCATAGGAACGCTCGATTATTCTAGGACCTGCTGAAAATCCAAATTCCTTCCCCCCGCTTCCTCGATTCTTATGACTTACACAGAAGCAGGATTCAAAACATCGTATGCAAAGTGAATTTGAAATGAGAGGAAAACTAACAGCAAACCGGCAGATGATATTTGCGCCAGCGCCTTCGCCAAAAGCAATGCATGTTTTCACTTCCAGCTTATCTAGGACGCAAACCATGCTCTCCCCAAGCTGATCCAGAGTTGGAAAGCTGGAAAAACATGTTTACGAGTTTTCGGCAAAACATGTTGAAATCAGCCATAAATGGCCCGCATTGAGTTCTCACAGATCTTTAGCTCCAACGTAGAGTGATCAGTTATTACAGTATTCTTATTCCTGTAATGCTGACTCACAAATGTTAATCTAAAAAAAAAAAATGTTGACCCCAGGATGTCACTTTGCTGTCGCGAGAAGTGTAGAACTAGGCATGCTCAAGAGCAACACTTCAGTTTTTCCGTCAATCCAAACATACCACGAATGTATCCCTGCGGAAACGACAATACGCGTAGAACAGGAATTATCACAATGGCGCAAAATTCCTGAGATGTTACACAATTAAACCTCTGAACAAAGGGACTTCGCGTCTGTAACAACGCCCTCCATTATAGCCTTCTCTTAGAAGGAGGGATCTCGGGAAGAGCTACGATTAGCAGTCTCGTTGCGGTTGCTACTCTGCATTCATTTCTGAGCATAATTCTGTCAGTTGGCACACCTGTTATGTCAAATTTACAATATCTTTTCAGCATGCAAAAATAGAAGCACTGTAAGAATGTCAACTTTGAGTTATTTTAAGTGTAATTTTGAACTGGCACTAACTCGCCAACAAAATCAGGTGCGTTGTCTTCCTGGCCGGGAATGCAAACATGTAAAAAAATTGATTTCGCCTTGACATCAGCCATCGATGGATGGTTACAAAATCGTACGAAACTTTTGTCTGCAAAACAAAAAAAATGTAAATTGCTGACAAAACAGATATTTGCTACAGTATCTAAAGACATTCGCTATAATTAAGCAATACTTTGGAAAATCGACGTTGTTTGAAATGAACAACGTCAAGCTGTTGCGCTGCAGTAAAAGGACGGCTGAACAAAGTATGGAATGATGTTAAAATAAGAATCTCATATTAATAAAGCATACTGTTTTCCACCCAACTGATAGGTTGTTTTGAAGGATAAGTGCGCATCACATTCTAGAGTTCGAGTCGATCAGTCGAGAAGACTGATCGTTTGGGAACCCACTACAGTTCGTTTCGATAGCAAACTGATTTTGGCGCATATCGAAGAGTCGCGCTTGCCTGAGGTTTCCTCTAAAGCAG